GTTTAATGAGGTGGGTAGGGGCTGTGATGAACATTTGCCAAGAGTGGCTGAGGGCTGAGGTATCAGGAGTGAATTGGCCAGCATGTACTCTGTCTAAATAGAGGCCCATTCCCAGGAGCCTTGCCTCATTCCAGCCTCTGACTTCCAAGGAGAGGGTGTAGTGGTCAGTAAATCCCTGTGGTTTCTGCCCCAATATGATTTGGCAAACCAATGTCACCAATATAACTGAGTTTGGGAAGCTTAAATACATTCACTGTACAGTAGATACTTATTCCTTGGCTTTAAATGCTATGGCCCATACAGGAGAAACAACGAAGAATGCAGTTAAACATATTATTCAAACATTTTCAATTTTGAGAATGGCAGCCAGAACCTCTCAGAGCTGAGCCCGAAGCCTTATTCCCACCATTGGTCAATTGAGCTTTGGTTCTCTTATCTGTCAAAAATTACATGGATCTGTGACATATTTTGTTTTCCTTTGTTTTGTTTCCAGGCATGGTCTCCCAGTAGCCCCAGTTGTCCTGAAACTCGTTATGTAGACCAGGCTGGCCTTGAACTCACAGAGATCCAACTGCCTCTGCCTCCTGAGTGCTGGGATTAAAGGTGTACATCATCGCACCCAGCCTGTGACATGTTTCAGGCCACCCAGGATTAACGGAATGCTGCTATTTAGAGAACTGAAGCTGTGAAACATCCCCAAGGTAGAGTCAGACAGTTACTCTCCAATCAGGCCTCTGTGGGGTCCAGCTCTTTCTGTAGGATGCTCCAGCCTGGGCTACCTTCACAGGGAGCCACTTGGAGGAACTATGTGAGGAGTTGTGAGATCTGTTTTCTAGAGAGAAGAGTGGTGGGCACACAGTGGGCCTCAGTGACACAGCCTCCTTGCCTAGAGCCTTGGGTGAGTGTTGTGAACTGTGTCTGTCGAGCAGCAACCACCATCAAATCACTCACTTGTTGGAGCAATCTGAGTGTGGTTTGGGACTGTTCCCTACTTCCTGGCTTCCAGGCCATGGGTTTCTTGAGTCCATTTGGAGCCCCAGTGCAAATTAGACACAGGGCCCCCTTCAAGACACTCCACTGTCCTCTGCTGGAAAACTGCTATAATATACATATCTATTTTGTAATGTATATACAAATCTGTCCAGATATGGTACCCCTCCAGTGTGGTGGTGTGTGCAAAACACAGCCAGCACAACTGATCCTGGTGACCTTGACAGCCTGACCCCCTGACCCTATGGAAATCCTGTGGGCTGGTGTTTGACCGAGAACTAACAGACACGTTGATAATGGTTCCTTCTTCAAAGGCTAGAAACTAGATAGAAGCAAGTCCTTTGAGATGGCATAAGGTACCTAGAGCAGGCAGACAGTTGTTTCATGCATCACTTATTAATTTGTAGATAGACATGGGAGTCTGACTCACTGACTCTTCTTTCCTCATTCCAGAAATCTACTGGCTTACTCTTTTGCTTTTGTCATCAGGATCAGAGCTCATGGCTAAAGCAGGAACTACGGAGATGAAAGGAGTTCGAGGTAGAAGTATTCCAGCTGGGAGATATGAGGAAAGTGGTTGTGCAGGTCTCCATGCATTGTGTGTCTCCTACTATTACAAAGAGGCATGATGTTAGCCTGGACATAGCTTCTCTGGTGACACGGGGTGTGTTTTCATGTGCCTAAGTGTGTGTATGGCTGTCACAGGGACTGCCTGTACTTAAAATGTTCAGTTGTCAGGGTTTGGGGGAGAGATTTGATGTTCTGTTCGGTCAGATTCTTTTTTGGCTAATTTTTTGTTCAGGTCAGTGGGCACTCTGGTATAGACAGGAGGAAAAGGAACCTACTTTTACAGGGACTGCTTCTTCCATCCTTGATGGAAACTGCCTTGGACTCAGTTCAGCCTTCTTGGCCGGGTCTTTTGATCCCCTGGAGGACCAGTTGCGCCGTAGTTTGGCCTCTTTGCAAGGGAGCCGGAGCAGCGCCGGTGAGGGCCGGTAGGGGGCGCCCGAAAACCACGCTGACGCCCGCACCTCCCGCCAACGCCTCTTTTGCAAATGGGTTGCGACCCCAGTTTCCAGAGTGGAGAAAGCAAGGGCTGCCACATGACTCGAGCAATTTCGGGAGGGAGAGCCCCGGAGCAGGGGGAAGGAGAACACGGGGGTTGGGAGTGGGGCATAATGGATCACCAAATTCTTCATCCCAGAACCTGTCCCAGGACATTCCTATTTCTGTCACTCAGCACACATGCTTGGTGCAGACTCTTTTTAGAGCCTCTGTCCCCCACTCCTCCTGGAGCTTTGCCCAGGACAGATGGACAGAGGACAGATGGATACAGATGGAGGTGGCAGCGTCTGTAGGCCTGTGATCCTCTGTCACTCACTTTCCCGGTCCCCACTTGCTGCAGGGCACGGGTTAGGATAGAGGTTATAGGCAGCTCCCGACCAACTAGCTTTGTGAACTTGCCCTTACTCTTCTTTTGCACATGTCATCATCTTCTGTCTTCATAGACAGGTATGTTTTAACCTTTTCACAAACGAGATGGAGGGGACCCCGGATCAGTTGGAAAGTGCTCTTCCCTTGCTGGGTTCTGCACTTCAGCATTTCTGGGATAGCTTCTCATAAGGGGCCTCATTCCTCACTAGGACAGCTCCAAATGTTAGCTAGTTATCTTTTTCCATTTGGGTACCGAAGTCTTCACTATTGGTCCAAACTGGCCAAACTCTTGGCAAAACCCTCCCCTCTCCATCCCAGCCCCAGGGCCTGTTCTGATGTGTTCTCTAATAATAAATTCAGGCAAAGGTGCCCATTCCTTGGCTTGTCCTTAGAGGACTCATCCTGCTCCCTCCCCTGAAGGACCTTTGCTGCCAGCACTCCAGCTCCCTTGGCACCCAGAGGCCTGAAGGGGCAGGTCACACCTGGTGGGACTCCATGGAATTATCACATGGTCAAGCTAGATTTCACTCCCATGAAGAGTTCAGGGGCAGCCAGAGGTTGGGGTTCACTGGGTCCCATTCCCTATTCTTTCTCCATCATGGCCTACATCCCTGAGGCAGACCCCAGGACGAGGACCAAACAATCCCAAAATGCCTATGCTCCTGCACTGGATTGTGCCAGGCCCTCAGCTGTGAACTGGAACCTCTCAAAGCTCCAGGGTAGCCAAGGACCATTTTTGATATCAATAGGAGATTCCAGGAAGAAGGCAAGTCATTTGCCTATCAAGTAGTTCAGACATTATTTTTATGTTAAGATAAATGCAAACATGTTATGTAACAGAGTGGAGAAGCATGATTTTTCAAGACTATATCAGGTAACCAAAGGCATTTTACCCTATAGAAAGGTTGTGTCAGGCTAGATCTTTAGATTTCAGTCCACTGTCTGGAAGACCGGGCTGGGCTCTCTGCTAAGAGATGTTTAGGTAGAGAACTTGGGAACATTCCTTTATTCCAAGAGGTCAGGGAGGAAGTGACAAACTGGAGAAATGATTAGTTTGAAGACACAGCTCAGAGGAGGCTGGATTCAAAGCCCATACCTGTTCTTTTCCCTGTGCCAGAAATTGCTGCATAGTAAGTACCTACCACAGCTCTAAAGGGGATAAAAATTGGAAAAGGAACTCTGGACTAACCCTTGGTTTGGCTAAAATGTAGTTCAGAAATTTTACTTCAAGAATCTGAATTCTGGGTCTGTGCTCTGAACAAAGTACACCTCATTCAAAGACAATATATTTCCTTCCCTCCTGCAGGATCTAGATTTTCTGGTTGGAAAGAGGCTTGGTGAAAAGAGAAAAAGAAACTCAACTCCTCGCCAGGGAGTAGGAGGTAGTGGGAGGTAGAAAGCACTCATGATGGCAAAGCTGGCTGGAGGCCACTGAGCCTCAAGCCAGGGAACTGGTAGGACCAGCTGTATCATCACTGTCAGCATCCTTGGGACTGTCTCTTGTCACACACCACAGGCTACACCTGTACATATATGTGCACACACAAATACCTTGTGCTCAGACTCACTGGTGCTTGGGGGCCCATGGTCAAATACTGCCTCACAAAGCTGATGTGTGAAGAAATGAGTTCCAGGCTCCCTACCACACAACACCCCCAGACCTCTGAAATAAGAACGGAGAGGAGGAAGTCAGTCTAGAGATTAGTGTTAGACAAACAAAGCTTGCTTTCACTCAAAACACTAGCTTTCATGCCTGAAATCCCCAAACTTGGAGGATGGGGCAGGAGGATGGTAAGTTCAATGCTAGCCTGGACTACATAGTGAGATCCTCTCTAAAAAGAAAGGAAGAAAAAAACTTCCCATTATCCTTCAAGGACTTAAATAAGAGTCAAAAGTTTACATTTTGTAAAGGTATCTTTAACATTCAGTTTGTTAATACCCAATAGTCTAAATGGTCAGCAATGAAAGTCTATAGATGGGTTTGTTGCCATCCTGTTAACTTCCAGTAGTCACATCTCACAGAAGTGCCACTCTCAATATTTAATCAAGTCAATTAATACTGTTTAATAAATAGGCCAGAAAATTAGCTGAGAGTTTCTTGGCAGGATGCGGCGTGCGACCAAAGTTATGGAAGATTGTCCCTTGAATCACTAAGGCAAACTTTGTTGAGTTCATTTTACATAGAGCAGTCACATAAAAAGAGTTTTAAATAGAAAAAAATCCCAAAGTTCTCCCATAGACAGACAGGGAAATCAGAAACATGAGAGAGAGAGAGAGAGAGAGAGAGAGAGAGAGAGAGAGAGAGAGAGAGAGAGAGAGAGACAAACACACCACCCCCCCCCCACACAAATCTCGTATTACACGAGAGAGAGAGAGAGAGAGAGAGAGAGAGAGAGAGAGAGAGAGAGAGAGAGAGAGAGAGAGAGAGAGAGAGAGAGAGAGAAACACAACAACCCCTCCCCCCACAATCCATTTGTTTCAAGTTCTTGATCATACAGTACTCAACATCTTTGGATATTTTACAATGTACAACTCCAACTGTAGCCAAGAAAAAACAAACAAAAAGAACTAATCAGTCATCTGAAAAAGTGAGTTTATAAGAACTCATTACCTTTACAAAATAAAAACCAAAGCCCGACACCACTGGATTCCACTTGGTTCCTTTGTTGGTTCTAAGTTTGGTTTAGCCGCAGTCACTTGGTGATGGGGGAACATGTGCATGTTGGCTGGTAGGTCCAGAAATGAGCCTGAACTGTAGACAGGGGTCTAAGAGGCAGCTGCCCAGCAAGTGACTGATGAGGGTGTCTGAGGCAAATCCACCTAGATGGGATGGACTGGAGCTTGGTGGTACTAGCAGATAGGGAGTCTCTTATGGGAGCAAGAGCTGTGAGATGGAGAGTCTGTGGTCTTCTCTGGCCTTTTAGTTTGCGTATTTGCACAGAAAAAAGCCAAGGCAATGGAAGCCAAGTCTCATGCACACACAGCACGGGGATCTGGGACTCCAGGCCTGGCCCTCCCAAGGAGGTGGATTTTTCTCTCTGGGTTCCTGAGAAACTGATGCAAACTCAAGAAGGCATGGACCAGCAATGCCGTCTTGCTGTCACCAACCCCAGAGCCAGCAAAGTATGACTTGCTACCCAGAGCCCCTCACAACCCAAAGACTTCCACCTCCCTGTACGGCAGCCTTTTGGTCAAATGCTGGGACCAGGGTGAGGGGTTTAAACACAATAGAAGGGTGTCACCAGCAAAGCGCCCCACTCAAGAAGCAAACAGTTGAGCCCTAGGTGACTAGGTGCTGTGCTACTCTCAGGAATGGGGGAAGGCGGGTAGTTGGTGGGCGTTAGAAGCTGGTCCCATCTCTTGCATGGTAGCTCCAGGAGACTGTACAGCACTCAAGGGGTGAATGGGGGTGGGCAAATGCTGACTGTTGTTCCTAGGGTTCCAGACATAGCCATGGCCTGTCAGGAAATAGGGCAGAATTCGGAGTTCCTAAAGCCCTGCCCATCTCTCTGTCAATCCCTGTGTAGCTCTACCAGCGGTATTTCTCACTTAGACTAACATGTTTATGTCCAGGTGGAGGGATTGAAACCAAGCTAGTAAGATAGATTGTGTCCCCAGGAACTCTGGGAGAGCAAACTCCTACTTTCCAAGACTTTCTTTGTAGGAACAGGTGTGACAATGTATGAACGTGGGGGAGGGAAATTAAGTTACCACCCCCTTTCACAGCAGGGTGACTGAGGCACAGAGGATTGACCTGCCCAAGGTCATAGGACAAATAAAATTAAAACGGACAGATTCCATGCCAGCTCCTAGCTGCAGGAGGTCTTCTTCCCACTTGGACATTTTTGTCAGCATGACAGATAGGCATTGATCAGTTGGATCCCAGGACCTCTAAGCTGGAACTTGACCCCCACAGCAGTGTTGGGAGGGACTCCCCCATTGGGTAGTATGGCACAATCAAGGTGCTTGACCAGGACTTGGCCCTCATGCTGGCTCTACCTAGCCTGCCTTCTGGCCGAGTGGTCCCTCCTTACAGTCCCACACTACTGCAAGGTGCCCCTGGCACCAGCGTGGCCATCTGTGGCATGGGCAGTCTGTGTGTTTCTGTGTCAGAGACAGCAAGGGGGAGAGAGATGGTGGCTCCCAACCCTTTAGGAAGTGATACTCAGCTCAGGCCCCAGCCAAAGAGAGGCACTGCCTTCCGAGGCCTGGGAGATACCATCGCAGCTAATATAGATATATATATACTTCTTATTTTCCCTTTGTGTTTGCAAAATAGAAAGTTCAGATCCACAGGGTGGGGCCGGCTGGGCCTTAGAGGGGATAGGACAGGCTGGGGACTGGGGTGGTGCACCAGGGCCAGTTTAGTTGTTGGCTTCAGACATGGAGGCTACGTGGTTGAGACCAGCGAGCCCAGGGAGGCCAGCCAGGCCCGCGGCCCAGGGGTCGGACAGCGGGAAGTAGGGCCGCGTGGCGGCCACGTTCTCGGCCAGCGCCAGGGCCAGGAGGCCGCCCGCGTTCCTCTCGGCCTCCAGCTGCGCGCGCCCGAACAGCTTCATCTGCGTCTCCTGGAACTGCCGCTCGAGCTCCTGCAGGCTCAGGGCGCCCTTGGGTGCCGTCAGGAAGTGCTTGGCAGGGCTGGGGCCCGGGAGGCACACGGCCGCTCCGCCCAGGTGGCCCCCCACCTCGTCCAGCGCGGGCGGCATCACGAAGGCCGCCTTGTCGGGCGCGGGGCCGCCGGGCCCGAAGAGCAGGCTGGCGGCCCTCCAGGCGGCTGGCTTGCGGCCGCGACGTGGCCGTGCCATGCGGCAGCTCTGGCGCTTGATGTGGCGGTGGAGGTGGTCGGAGCGCGTGAAGCTCTTATAGCAGAACTCGCACTGGTAGGGCCGCACGCCCGTGTGGATGCGCATGTGGTTCTTGAGGTCGTAGTTGTGCACGAACTTGGCGTTGCAGTGAATGCACAGGTAGGGCCGCTCCCCTGTGTGCTTCCGCATGTGAATCTTCAGCTTGTCCTGCCTGCAACACAGAACCTAGGATTTAACTGCGTGGCATAGCGGGTTGCTCCTCATCCTTTGTTTCCTACTTCCGGAATCTGCTCTAGGAGTGGGGTCTGCCCTAGGACCTACCTTCAATTTCTGCCCAAACTTCTACCTCACCCCAACCAGGGTTGGGTGCTCACCTGGATTAGAGCAGGAGAGAGCAACGTCCCAAAGAATAGGCTTGCTGGAGAGCTGAGTCCCCAAAAGTCAGCGTTCTGGCCTTAGGCCGGTATTGGCCCAGGAACTTCTGGTGTGGTCTGCTCTATGATTTCCTGCCCTTTCTGTCTTGCCTCTGGGCTCATCCTATTCTTCTGTACAAGGCCTCTAGTCTCTCAGCAGTCCCTGGACTGTTGACTCTTGTCTGTCCTTAGCAATAATCTGGAGATTCCAGAAGCCTGGCACACCTTGTTCAGAGCTCCTGTGGTGTGGTTTTTTTACCTAAGCCCTGGGCTCTGTTCTTTATAGACATTTCAGGGCTTACAAAAGAGCCAGGTGCAGCAGCAGGAATGAAGCCTGATCTGGAGTAGAGCTCTGGGGGTTTAAGGACATTACTCAGAGGCAAGGCATGGGATGGGGTGTGGCACCAGGTGCAGACCCACCACCCACTTGCTGGGTGTCCTTAGGCAAGTTAGGTAGCCTCTCCATGAAAAGCTGAAGCTAGGGCCAGACATCAATGCCCATTGTTCTGGGCTTCTGTTCTGGAGACTCCATGTTTAAGTCAGATAGAGTACATAGCCTTTCTGGTGGTCCTGAAAGGAAAGCTGACTCCCCAAGTACCTAGGAGACCAATCTAAGGAGCCTTTCAGTCTGGCTGCGGGGAGGTAACTTGGGTGGGAATGGTTCCTGCCAAGATCATTCTTAGATTTTCCTGAGAGGCCAGAGGCCAGGGCATTGTGTGCTAATTCCACTGCCTCCTGCAAGTGGGGCTGGGGACTCACTTCTGCTGCAATTCCAGGTTGAGCTTTGAGGTCAGAACAGATGTGGAATCCAGTGTCCTCCCTAAAATGTCCAGATTTAAACCACCCTCATCATAACCCGCTGCAGCAGGAGCCATCTGGGTGTATCTGGCCACTAGAGGGCACACTGGCTCTCATTTTAAAAGCATTTCTCTGGGTGGGTGCAAGAGGGGAAAAGACACTCTTGTAGACACTGGCAGGGATTTGGGGGTGGGGACAGAACCAGACCTCCCTACTGTGCTCCCTGGAGGGCTGGGAGCCTGGGAGGTGGGGTGTTGGACCAGCAGATGAGGCAGAGGAGAAAGGGGGTATGGTGCCTAAAGTGGATTTTCCTTACACCTGATTTTCCCTTCCACAATCTCAGGCTAACCTGGTCTGCACAGTTCCCTGTGACATCCAAGCCCCCAGTGGCACATGCCCTGTGGCATCTGAAACCCAGGTGACTGGGCATTTGAGCTATCATAAAGGGAAGTAGGGAGCACCTGGTCAGTGGATCTCAGCTGACCAAGCATGAGATCCATTATCAGACCTGAGATGCCTGGGACCTGAACACTCCCCTTTAAGGCAGGTCATCTGAAGGACAAAGAGGGAACAAAAACAGAAGGCAAGGCCTAACATGCCCACGGGTCTGGGTTCACTCCTCAGCACTGGGGAAAAGATCCCCCAAACTCCCATGGCATGTCTATGGCCCTGCTTAGACTCCTAGGCAGGGGAGGACACCTGTCCAGATGTGGTATGAGTGTGCTGTTTCTAGGCAAGGGCCTTTGTGTGTATACATAGAACTTCTGGCCATCCAACCTGCTGGGAGCTAGGGGACACAGGAGGCAGCAAACTCATGGGCAAAGGCAGAGATCCTAGTGGGTGAGGAAAGGGACACAGCCTCAGGGACATCCCCTCAGTGTGGCTTTGTGCTTGAAGTGGCCTGGCTATTCTGTTTGGGATCCTAGAGCCCTTAAAGCTTATTCCCTTTAGGAAACTGAAGCAGAAATAAGCAGCAATGGGTTCACAGTTTCCTCACCTTGGGCAGTATTCAAATGGAGTTGGAAACTGGTAGCAACTGCAGTGTACCCCATCCCCTCAAGAGACACCTTAGAAACATGGCCCAGAGATAGCAGGAGACTGGGCAAGGTCATACAGCTGGCAGAAGGAGAAGCTGGCCCAAGGCCTGAGCCTCCTGATGACTGCCCAGTGCTCTTGTCAAAGTGCCACAACTCACTGTAAGCTGAGGAGCCTTCGGGTCATTTCTTTGTTCACTGACCAGCGACCAGGAGGGCCAATTCAGAATTCCCCAGTCTGTGCATAAAGTGTTTATGTATTTAGTTTGTGTGTGTGTGTGTGTGTGTGTGTGTGTGCGTGCGTGCGCGCATGCCATGGCATGCTTGTGAAGGTCAGAGGACAACTTTTGGTTGTTGGTTCTTTCTGTCCACCATGTGGGTTCTGGGGATCAAACTCAGGTTGTCAGGTTTGACCTTGGCGGCAAGTGCCTTTATCTGTTGAGCCATCTCACTGGCCCCAAATCTCCCCAACCCAACTCTGATGTGCTCCTCTCTGGCTTTGCCTTTCTTGCCTGCCATCTCCTTCCAGTTCCCTACATCAGAGACCCAGCCAAATGGTCTTCTCCCACTTGGACAGAGACTCATGGTTAGGAAGAATGATTAGGTCTTTATGAGCACATCTCAGTGAAAGGCAAGGGTGTTGGCCTGGGCTTGGGCCCCAGTTCCAGAAAGGTTCTCAGTCAGCCTGAAGTGTCCTACCACTGTCCACCCAGACTTCATTGTCCTGATGGTTTGATATGATTCTTCCTACCACCACTGCCTGTGACATTCTGTGAACTTATCAAGATTCCCAGAACTTTAGGGAGAGGTGCATTGAAAAGATTAATAAAGGGAAAGCCTGGCCTACAGGCCTTCAGTGCAGAGCAAGCCACTGCATGGAAGGAGAGTGGTCAGCACTCAGCTGTCACTGTAGGTGGGGAACTGGACATCTTTGAGGCTATTGGTGAGGGAGTCAACAGAAACTGCTGACATCGTGGCTCTTAGGGAACCAGGGCCACCCAACCTTTGCCTGGATGGCTTGCCCTCAGGGACCTCTGTTGTCTGGAGGACAGCCTCTTCTCTTCTTGCAGCTTCTTGCCTCCATTTCTTGCTGCATGCCAAGCTGGGCCCATAAGAATGTCAGGCTATTGGTGGCCTGAGGGTCTCAAGAGGAATGCTACCAGATGTGCTCTCTAGGAGCTCCTGGCTGAAGGGCTAGGTGAGGCATAGGGCAGGGCCCCAGAGCCTGTGAGCCCCAGAACCTGTGAGTAAGTATATAATGGGAAGGGAAAGGAGGGGGTTTAGGACCTTCTTGGGACCCGGGCCTAGGCCCAGCTGGTAGCATGGCTGTCACTGGGAAAACAAGGTGCTCAGAGGTCAGCTGCAGGGTGGGTCTGGAAACTCCCACCAAGCTCAGTGTCCCTTTTCATCTTCCCTGTCCTTCAAGGCTCATCCTAGGTGTCCCCTCTGACAGAACCCTGCAGTCCTTTCCTTTGGCTGCTGACCTCAAGACTTGCTGAGAGTAGAGGGTGACAGATCCCTGATGAGGGGCTTGGGCAGGCCTGGTCCTGTGTTGTGGAGCTATTCTTCCCCCAGCCCAGTTTGGCAGGAGCTGTCTCTGGCCAGTACAGGTACTAACCTTTCTCTGCAAGTAAACTGTAGTGGTGGTGGAATACTCCAATTGTGAACACAGCCTCCTACCCAAGCACTGTAGAGCTCTCAGAGCCCACTGACAACACGGTGACCAGTGGTCCAAGCTAGGGGACAGCATGGGGCCACAGGGACAGTCTGGGTGAAGCCTGTGAAGCCCTGCCTGGGGGCATGTCACATCAGAACAGATCAGTAGTGGGACAATGAGGGGAACTGGTTGAAAATGAGAACTGACTCAGAGGAATAGGCAATAGCAGGGTGCAGGAGGTCCCTCTGCTTGGAGATCCATAGAATGAAGGGAGCAGACAGGATTTGGAAGTGGCAGGGACTCTGCTGGGAGAAACTCTTGGGTGTTGTATAGGAGGGGGAAATTTCAGAATGCTCCCTCCCAACAAGTTCTTGAAGACCCCTTGCTGGTGGACTGCTCCAATAATTGTGAACATAGCCTTGTGCCCTGGGGCATCGCTACGGGAGCCACTAGGAATAGTGTCCCCCTGAAGACTGGACATTCTGAGAAGTGGCATCTTGGAGATATAACTCAGAGCCTAGGCCAAAGAGCCATTACAGAGGAGAAGGGTAAGCTGCTCCCATACTCATGGGAGGGCTGAGATGGACCAGAGGGCCTGAGCTCTGCCCAGCACTGAGAAAGGAGAATAGGCCCTGCCAAAGCCAGGAGCTTAGCTGTGGGGAGGAAGGACTGAATCCAGAGCTTCTCAGTCTCTTTGGGGTCCAGTACCAGAGACTGGCTTAGCTGGCAAGGGAGTCTGGGAATTCCAGGTCAGGAGCAGCCACCCTGCTGAAAAGCCTCCAGGTGGAGAGAAGAGGAAGGTGTTATGGATGTGACCAGGGGTCTCAACTCTAAAGTAGTTCCCCATGAAAAGCCTGCAAGAGGATTTGACTACAGAAAGGCTTGTTGAAAAACCCTGACCTGGTGAGACCAAGGCTAGAGCTTTGGAGGACTGGAAAGAATCCTTACAGGCAGGCATGGGGAGGACAGGAAGCAAAGGACCAGTGGCTCTGAAGAATGTGCTGAGGAGTGCTCAGCAAGGAGAGCGCAGCCCACGGTGAGAAAAAGTCCCTGATGGGAGTCTGGAGTTCAGCAAAATCTCCTCCACCCCTCTGGCCCCTGACCTTGGAGAGGGGGCTCCAAAATCTGTCTGATCTAGTTCCGGAGGGTCAGGGCAGTGGGAACTTAGCAAGGGGAGGGGAGGTGGGGGCTGGGATGCAGCTGCTGCAGCTGAAGACAGGCCTGGAGTCCAGATGGCTGTCATCCTGCTGAGCAGGAGTAACCCCAGGGGCAGGCCGGGCAGAGGCTGGTGGCCAGAACCTCCCCAGGACTGAGCTGGTCTGGAGGACCAGGGGATGGTAAGCACAGAGGCTGGCAGAGTGGCCTTCAGGAATTAGTTGGGAGGAAGCATTCTGGAATTTCACTCTCCTACACAAAATAGCACTGCTGTCTGAACCAGAGGTTCTCTCCCAGAGAATGTTTTAATGTCTGGACAACTCTTGAGAAGCCTGTCTGTAGGGACTAAGTTTAAAATTTTCCCCTGATAAGAAAGGATCTATAGCTTGGCCTAGACCTGTGTGGACTTAACAGAAGCCTAGCTTGGGAGAGAGCAGAGGAGAAAGGAAATGGCTAGGAAGGACTCTAGTGTGGGGAGGCTCATTGTGGTACCCTGAGATGCAAATCCTGTTGAAGCCAGTCTGGGTGTCTCCTGAAGGAGTGCTTCCTTGGTCATTCTGTACAGGGACAGGTACAAAAGGTTAGATAGGAGGAGCCTGGCTGGTCCTGGGGAGAGTGCCATGGGCTGGGTCAGAAGTGGTACTCTGCATCTTGTCTGTGTCTTTGAAATCCTTCTCCAGGGGCTGGACTCTCAGAGAGGAGCAAAGTCATTGCTGGAAATGAGGGAATTGTACTTGAACTTGGTCTTCATGTGAACTCTGCCTTATTTCCCTGTTATTCCATAGTCTGGTTAAGCTTTGCTCAGATGTTCCAGCCTAGCTAGCTCTGTGGGGTCAAATGAATTCAGGAGAGGGGTGGAGGTGGGGACAGCATAACCTAATAGGGCATCAGTGTGCTGGGATGTTATCAAGAACATCCAGGGGGAAGAGGTGAATTTGGGAACTGGGGGTCCAGGTGTCCCATGGGATAATGGGAAGAGAGTGCCCTGAGGTCAGCATTGCAGGGCTGTTGTGACTATCAGTAGCTCACTGCTTAAATGAAAAGCACAACTCCTTCCTCTGCATCCTAGAAGCATCCAGGATAGATTCTGTTTGGGGCTTCCATCTCAGATGTGGCTTGGAAATCGTCAGTGTTGTCTTTTTAAGCACTTCCCAAGCTATTTCAGCATCACCACTGCCACCTTGAACATACTCTGAAGCCCCTTCTCAGCAGCTTCAAACAGTGCCTCTACCTCCTCCATTACCCATGAGTTAGGGGGTTCATCTCCATTTTCTCATAGTCCCCAAGTTCACATCTAACCTGATTCAAAAATCTACTCCATCTGCAAAGGCCAAACCTTTGAGCCCACTGAGAAAAATCAAAGGAATAAAATTCTAAGAAACACGTTGGAACAAGTGTGTGTGTATGTGTGTGTGTCGGGGGGGTCTGTCAAAAGTTTTTGGAAGGTCACAGTGGTAGCAGGGAGGATCTAGTTCACTATGTCATGATTGCAGGGTAGGTGCCATTAGGCTTTGTCCACATCAGACATATTGAAATGATGTGAGGCCACTCACCAGCACTCTTGTACCGTGGATCTAGCTGAGAAGATTCACCTCATACCAAGGGCACCGTATCAAGAGAACACACTTTCCCAAAACCAGGTCTTTTGAAACCTTGAAGTAGACAGTTATGACCCCACTTCCTCTTGCCCATAAGTTTTGACTACAAAAGTCACTGCATAGCACACAGCACACATTTGCTAAATGGGATGGTGTTTCTGAAAGATGGCAGGTTTAAAATCTCAGCAGCATAAATTTATCCTAGCATCGAGAAGCAAGAGCCCATCTTGTCAGGGATGGAACAGGCTCTGGGGTCTCTGTAGTCTCGTGGTCACAGACTTTACTGCCACATAAGAACTGGGATTCTAGTCCAGCTATACTTACATGCAGCCAACCAGCATTGGGCAGTGAATGGGAAATGATGGCACCCCATACACAGGACCTGCTTAATTGAGGTTGGCTGCTATGTCTCCCAATGAAACACAGGGCTTCCCCTCCATGGGGACCTTCTGGCCTCCATAGGCTCCTCACCTCCTCTTCCAGAACAGCTCTACTCTGACCTGTCTTATGTCTTGCGCTTCCCCCTAATATTGTATTTGAGGAAATATTTTTATCTCCTAAAAGGAATTTGGAAGTGGTTGCACCAGGCAACACCTGGCACCCCTCCAAACAGTGAACTTGATGTGTGTGTTGGACCAGCTGGAGATCTCCCTCCATCCCTTGCCTTCCATGCTCTGCTCTGCTATCATCCCACTGGTGTCTGGCCCTGGCTGTGGTCCCCAGCCACCCGCCCTTTCCTGTAGCCGCGCACCTGGTGAAGCGGACCTCGCAGATGCTGCACATGTACGGCTTCTCCCCCGTGTGGGTCCTCATGTGCCTTGGCAGCTTCCCAGCCCCCATGATGACCTTGTGGCAGATGGGGCACTGCTGAGAGGCCTTGGGCTTCAGCTTGCGCTCCTCCATCAGTGGCCAGGGTGGGAAGAGGCTCCCCAGATGGGTGGCACTCAGGAAGTTGAGATAGGCACCATAGTCGTTCTCTGCCTTGATGGGGCCCAGTGGCCCCCCTGGCAGGTCAGGGAACATGTCCTTGAAGAAGTCACTAGGGAAGGGTGGTGGTGGGGGTGGGGGCAGCTCCTCCTTCTCCTCCTCCTTGATCTTGCGGTTCTTGATGACTAGATCCAGTGGCCCACTGTCCATGGGCTGCTCAGGCAGCTGGGCAAAGGCACCGAAGTCCCCTGGCCATAGGTGTGGAAAGAAGTCTGGTGCGAATGGAGACAAAGAAGGTCTCCTGTCAGGGATGTTGGCTTTGGGGTACAAGTTCTCCCTCAGTAGAGATTCAATGGAGAAGTCCCGGATCACCCCCAGATGGCCAGGGCTACCGGGCTGGAAGGGGTCGGGGAAGTCCCTGGGTGTGTCTGAATAGGCCTTCTCTGTCAGATGGTCTGTCTTGGAGGGGCTTTGGGGGCAGTTGATGTCCTGGGGGTCAGGCAAGTTTTCCTGGTCAGCAAAGTCCTCAGTGTCATCATCATCATCGTCCTCTTCCTCTTCCTCCTCCTCTTCATCTTCTTCGTCATCATCATCCTCATCATCGTCATCATCCTCCTTATCCTCCTCCTCACCACCATCACCACCAGGCTCCATGATCTCTAGGCATACATTCACGATACACTGGATCTCTAGCAACCTGGCAGCATTGAGGATATGCTTGACGTTGGAGGTGGTGATGGTAAGCGTGGAGGTATAGGCAAACTCCAGGATGGCAGCCAGGGCCTCTGGCTGGACAAAGTCGATCTCATAGACGTAGGGCTGGCTCGCCAGGCTGCCAGCCGTGAAGAGCTTCTTGAAATACTTGCTGCAGGCGGCCAGCACTGAGCGGTGCGTGCGGTACTCCTGCTCCTGCACCACCAGGAGGACGTCACACAGCAGCCCTGCGTGCCGCTGCTCGTTGAGGCTGCATAGCACCTCACTGCTGTGGTTGGGGAAGGGGATGCCGATGAGTTCGTCAATGCCACTGGCCATGTTCTTAGCCAGAGCCCTGTAGGGACACACGGAGAGGAAGACCAGTTAATGAGCACAGTAGGACTCGACTCAGTTCCTGGACTATTTGCTTGCCCACATCCTGGCTTTGCCCAAGGCTCCCCCTCCACTAGACAGCTGGCCCCACCACCTGTTAGCTTGATCAAACCTCAGCTGTAGGTTGCAGCCCAGCTCAGGCTTGGACTTTTTTCTGTCTCCTGAGACTCAGGGTTAGCAGAATTCTTACTAAGCAGTGGGCATCAGCTACTTGAGATAAGCCACTTAAACTTCTTATAGGCTTGATTCACAGAATTCTGCTTTGTTGATATGGACTTGGAGAATACCAGGATGAACAGCCACATGAAACCCAGCTGTGGCAAATTCTCTAGGGATGGCACATCTGTTCTCTGCTTCTGCTGAGAGATGCTCACAGATTCCCCAGGTGATGAGAAACAATGGGGAGCAGTGTTCTAGGCAGGTAAGAGGGTACAGTCCACCAAGGTGCTCTTGGTCTGAGGGCAGGTTCTGTTTGAGTGGCAAGGTTTAACTTGGCCTGTTGATAGGACACTTCACTTCTGCACCTTCTGGGGACTTAGATAGACCATGTGTACCCAATTCCCCTAATGCGTGTTGGACATCATTCCCCCTCAGTGACCAGGGATTGTGATGGTGTCCCAAGGCCACACTCTTCAGTGGGCTGTGCTTTAAAGAGAGCTCTGAGTCCTCTTCCTGCCATCTCCAGGATGACAGATTGTTTAGGGAATGTACCCCATGGCCTGTTCCTCACTGTAGCAGAAATATCTGGGGAGGGGGCATAGGAAAGCAGGGCAGGCTACATGGCTGAATGCTAGATGACTCCTTCAAGACTATCTTGCCCTAGGACAGTGGCTTTGTGGACAGTTGATCTCGAGCCTGCAGGCTACCTCTCTGAGGCCTGAATCAGTGGGAAGACCTCAAATATGAGCTGCATGTAATTTTGAACACGCTGGGACAGGTGTAATGTGACCTTCTGAGCAAGGGGACCTAAGGACACCTGTCCTGGGGTGCCAGCTCCCTGCTTCAGATACTTAGGGACCATGAGAAGACTTGGAGGATAGAGCAGGGCCACCTGGCCAGCCCTAAACAATCTATTTCCCAATGAGGTCTAAGGCCCACCATCTTCCCTCAGGCTTTGGCTGTTCTCCAGTTGCTATCATCACTTCCATTTCACAGATGAGGATCACTGAGCATGCAGAGATAATCACACAAATGGGAGAGGTGCCAAGATCTGCACCTGCAGCCTTACTTTCCTGGGTCTGCTTTAGCCACAAGCTCCTGCCTTGTGCAGCAAAGGTAACTGAGAATGGGCAGTGTCTCTGCCATAGAGTTCAGGTTTCTCAGGGATGACCTTGAGGCAGAGGGTGGGAAACACTGGGGACAGGAGGACTGAGTGGCTCTGCCTTCCAGGGAGGTTGGGCAGGCTGGGCAAGCTTCAGGACCAGAGGCTCTTCTTATAGCCTAGGGGAGGGGCTCCTCTCTCATTCCTGGAAAGACCCTTGTGGCTCCCCAGGCAGTCTCCCAGCTATGCACAGTGGTCCCTTCCCAGTGGTTTTGGCAAAGATCTGCTAGAGAAAGAAGGGATGGAGGGAAGGAATTGGAGATGAGGCTCAGTTATTCTATCTTTAAAACAAATTTTTTTTCGAGAAAGGGTCTCATGTAGCCCAGGCTGGCCTTGAATTCTCCTGCCTCTACTTCCCAAGTTCTGGTGTTATAGGCACATATCACCATGGCTGGTTTTATGTGGTGCTGGAGAGTATACCCAGGGCTTCATGCATGCTAGGCAACTGCTCTACCAATTGAGCCACACCCCCATCTTCTGGGCACAGCAGTGGGTTAGCACTCACCTGGATGGGCACATGGCCATTAGACTCCCCTCCACTCTACCCCAAAGATCTGCTCACTCTTCACTCCTCAAACAGAACCCCTTTCAGTCCCCAGGCAGCTTTTGCTTTGTTCCTGGAAGAACATTCAACCTCACAAATGTCCCAAGTCACATCCCATGCACTCCAATGTTCCACTCAGATGACTCCATCTCCATCCCTCAGTTCAGGCAATGGGCATCTTGTCTTTGATATTCTACACCCTTAATGATTCTATCATTTAGCTGAGTCTGTACTTAAGTTGTTGAATTGTTTGAACATTTCTGCTAGATACTTCAGGGCAGATATAACTATTAAATGCTTAGCATGCTGCTGGTACATATGTATTGAGGGTTGGTGATAAGGGCTGTCCTTACCAGTGCTGCAATGTTCATTCTTACTTTTTAAGTTGTTTCACAGTTGTTTCTTTTTAAAATATTTTATTTATTATTTTACTTGTATGTGTATAAGTGCATTGTCTGCATGTATGTAAGTGCACCTGTGTCATATAATGCCCAAGGTGGTCTGAAGAGAGGGTAGGATCCTCTGGAAATGGAGTTACAGATGGTTGTTAGCCACCAGCAGGTGCTGGGAATTGAACTTGGGTCCTCTGCAAGAGTAGCCAGTGCTCTTAACTGCTGAGCCTGAGTCATCTCTCCAGCCCCCAGAGTTGTTTCTTGGGCAGTAATAGACAACTGATAGACAGCCACTGTTTGTTTTAAAGACATTATAAATCCATGACTTTTTATCATGACAGTCCTGTGGTAGATGGCAATTAAATGTCTCATCGTAATGAAATCAGCATGAAACTGAAGTTATGGAGGAAGTAATATCTTTTTCTAATTCCTACAAAGCCACCCCAGCATCCTGAGCCTTGGAGGGGCCGTCTTTGGAAAGACTTAGTGAATTGCTCTTCCCCTTTAAGTGAAAGTCAAGTTGTTGAAATCCCAGAGAATTAGCTCTCAGGGAGAGGTGATAATGGGGGTGAGTAGAGAGATGGCTCAGTGGTTAAGAGCTCTGACTGCTCTTGCAGAGGACCCAGGTTTGGCTCCTAGCACCCATATGGTAGCTAACAACCATCCATAGCTCCAGTTCTAGAGGATCCAATGCCCTCTTCTGGCCTCCACAGGCATTGCATGCATGTATTGCACTTGCATACATGTAGGCAAAACACTCTTGATGTACAAAATAAAAATAAATTTTAGAAAGATGATAATGTTTTAAAATGCTCTCCAGGTTCCTCAGAAATCTAGAACATAGTCAGTTTTTGCAAATGTTTCATGTGTATTTGAAAGTACATATATTCTTTATTTTTAGACATTATTATTATTATTATTATTATTATCATTATTCAGTTTTCCTTTGTTATTTTTGTGCAGTGCTAAGAATTGAACCCAAGACCTGGGACATGCTAGGCAAGTACTCTACCAGTGAGCTACATTTCTAGCCCTATCACATTTTCTATATTCATGTTAATATTTTGTGTGATTAATAGATGAATGTGTGATTAAAACATATGGAAATATCAATGTTCTCATACAATTTTATTAGGTTTTGCCTTACCTATTTATTAGCTAACATAAATTCATGATTGCTTAAAAAAATAAAACACTTCTCAGGGAGAATTCTTACCATTCCTTAAACATTTCTCTGCCTTCTTAGAGAAGCTCAAGCCTGTGACTCTGTGTAGTACTATGTCTCACTGAATGGTGACTAGGTCTAAGCCCCCTGGGAGATGGTAAGTGGCTGCCAGGCTCACAAGCTTTCAGAGCAATGTCTCCTTGGAATCTACAATCCAGGCGATACAGCTGTGGCTGTGTGGTTTTAGGAAGCTTCCCCACTTCTCATCATGTCATTGGATGGTGATGAGAAATCTGATCACACAGGACATGACCATGAAGAGCTTGGGAAGAGGTCAACAGGCTGGTGACCTTGACTCTAAGGCTGCTTGGCCCAGCAGCTACTTCTCCCTGTGTCTTGGTTTGTGGTCTTTGTTCCATTCCTGGAGGTAGCTTAGGGTTGTTTGTCTAGGCAGGAGACTAAACCCAGGGTGCGGCCTGGGAGGGGTGAGCTGTGGTCAGGAGCCAGACAGGGGTCCCCTCTGGCTGTTTCATTGTCTCTTTGGGAAGAAGCATTCTGCCCTGTGCTCTGGGAGCTTCCCTGGTGACCTCGAAGTTCCCATGCTCTGGTGGGCTGGCAGATAGCAGTGTCCCAGAGAGGATGCCATGCCCCTCCTCCACTTTCCCACCCAAGCCTTGCATCCTATCCCTCCCCTCCCCCAAGCCAGGGCAGACAACCAAGCCAAGAATAACATGCAAAGGGAAAACAAACATGCATGCGTTCAAAACTCTCAACAGCAAGCCTAGGCTTGATGTTGACTGGAAGCCTTTGGTGGGGAGGGGCTAGAAAAGTGATTAAGAATAAAGAGCAAAGAAGGAGAGAGCAGAAGGAGGGCTGGAGAATGGAGGGAAAAGGTAAGTCTTCTTAGGTATGATCACCATTCCAGAGAACACTGGGTTTCTGCCTCAATAGAAGTTTCTAGAATCCAGGCAGGTCCAAGTAACTATCCTACAAGGATAGGGCAGTGGCTTATTCAACTGTCAAATGAGAGTGACAACTCTTTCAGAGACAGAATTGCTTCCAAGTCCTTCTAAAAGGCCAAAGGCATCACTGGTAACCAGCACTGACAGTCACACTTACAACTACCCTTTATCAGTGCCTGTCACATGTGAGTCATCACACCTCTAATCCTTCCTCAAGAGCACAACTATGGAAGGTGTGTTTTCTTAGCAGCACATCCACAGTGCTCAGATAAAGGAGCAACTATGCAGAGGGCAAGAGATGCACCCAAGGCTACACAACTGGCAAGTGTCAGCAGGGTTTGACCTAGCTGTGTTGCAAGCTCACACTTTTGCCCTTTGTCATGCTTCTGCCAACTAAGTCTACTTTGGGGGTAGGGGGATTTGAACTCTTCTCCATGAAGGTTGGTTGACTGTCTCTTACCCCAGGGTTTGATTGGAGCCAGGCCTGAGGGATGTGTTCCAGGTTGCTGAGATCCATACTTGCAGGCACCTAAGGTAGGGGGAGGAGTCTCAGAGCTCCATGCAAGACAGAGAGATGT